CAAAAACCTAATATTCTTAACCGTATGACAGTGTGTTCTTTGATAAACTACATTACGGGTTCATAAATAAAGATGATCCTCAGGCAGACTACTCGATCCAGGGTTCAGTTCCTCAAGGTCTTAGCTTTGAATTTTGCATTCTCTGTATCAGTGATAATTGAAAATATTTCTTTGAGATTTCTGGCAGTTGTTTTCAACCATTACTGCTGGGATTATGAATCTGTTTTCACATCAGTTTTTGCTTAATTGATGATATTGAAGAGAGAAGCTCGACTTAATTATATTACCCTTTCCTTTTATTACTGGGGTCATCATTACCAGCCAAGATAAATTGATTTTCCATTTTGGGTTTTATCATGAGCGTCTCATCCCCAGCAGCAAAAATTACACGGATATCTTTCTGTACATTGATCCTATAGTTGATGTGTTTCTACTTCCTACAAAGATCATTATAGAAAGAAAGCATGATCAGTATCGCATTTGCCTTTTCCAGAGATGATGTCAAGATTAGTCGGTATTTCCTATTCAATTCGATACCAGCACATTTTATGAATTTGACCAATTTTTTTGGTCATACCAACATTACACTTGAATCCCCACTGAGTTTTGTTCTCAAGTGGTCTTGTGACGTTATTCAAAAGCCTTGGACACTAGGCAAAGAGATTCAATGTTTGAGAACATCTGAGCAGAAGACACAAAAAAATGAATATGTTGTCAAATGTTTTACGAACATCTAAACAGAAACCACAGGAAATGATGAATGTGTTGTCAAATGTTTTACGAACATCTGAACAGAAACCACAGGAAAGGATGAATGTGTGGTCAAATGTTTTATGAACATCTGAGCAGAAGCCACAGGAAAAGATGAATGTATTGTCAAATGTTTTACGAACCAGTGATTATGGTGTTGAACCAATGTTGCAATCATATGGTTTCCATTTATTGATCCAAGATGAAATCTGTCTTCTTCAACCCCAAGATATAATGAAGATTTCTTTCCACAGAAGGGAAGCAGAAATTTTAACAATAAGAAACTAGTGGAGCCAACTATGGTTGAACTACAAGTTGTTGTTAAGCATCTCGACATTATATGGTCCAAGTTGCCTTATTCGAGATCTGATTATATGTGGAGATATGAAATGAATTGGAATAAAATCTTCCTTATGATGTGTTTCAAGAGTTAAATAAGAACATACTCTACTCTCCTAATTAATCCCTGCTGAGTCAGGCATATCTACATCTACACTCTTCAAAGATGATAGATTCTCTTTTTAAAGATGAAAGCTTTATGGGATTTGCACACAAGTCCAAGCAAATAAAGTTGATTTTATCCAAGACAAAATGGGGCATCAGGGTCATAATTTTGACTACGACAAGAGTTCCACAAGTGAAACATTTCTTCTAAGACTTTTATGAAGCAAAGAAGGCACCACGATACAAGTTGATCAGATGATTCTGTAGAAATGCAAGCTTGATAGCATAAGTTGCTACACTGATATCCAGAGGTAACCCTGGCAATAAATGATGAACTAGAGGAAGACCAAGTTTACCACTTTGAAGTCAAATGAAGATTGCATCAACATTCATGCATTCATAAGAACATCATTTGCACAATAGACAATGCATTACATTGATACATCTGAGTGCATTCAAACATGAAGTTTTACAGATCTTCGGAAGAACGAAGAAAAAAAAAATAATACCTTACAAGAAGAAGGTATTCAAAACCAAAAATACAGGAATCACACAAACATCTGAAGAAGAGATGGACGCAATCCACAAGAATGAGTATTATCTTGAGATTGGGGCATGTTACCCAATCAACATGTTATTTTGAAAAATAATGAGAAAACGATTTCCATAGTTTCTCATTCAATCTTTTCTGAAATGAAATTGTTGAATAGTAAGAAAAAATTTCCATAGTTTCTTCTTAGTAAACTATTTCTCACATCTGTAAGTCCTTCAGTGCATGATGTTTCCAAAAAGCCTTCGGGAGCTTTTTGATGTTTTCAAAACCTTCGGGTCATCTGTAAGTCCTTCAGTGCATGATGTTTCCAAAAAGCCTTCGGGAGCTTTTTGATGTTTTCAAAGCCTTCGGGTCATCTGTAAGTCCTTCAGTGCATGATGTTTCCAAAAAGCCTTCGGGAGCTTTTTGATGTTTTCAAATCCTTCGGGTCATCTGTAAGTCCTTCAGTGCATGATGTTTCCAAAAAGCCTTCGGGAGCTTTTTGATGTTTTCAAAGCCTTCGGGTCATCTGTAAGTCCTTCAGTGCATGATGTTTCCAAAAAGCCTTCGGGAGCTTTTGATGTTTTCAAAGCCTTCGGGTCATCTGTAAGTCCTTCAGTGCATGATGTTTCCAAAAAGCCTTCGGGAGCTTTTTGATGTTTTCAAAAGCCTTATGGTCATCTGTAAGTCCTTCAGTGCATGATGTTTCCAAAAAGCCTTCGGGAGCTTTTTGATGTTTTCAAAAGCCTTAGGGTCATCTGTAAGTCCTTCAGTGCATGATGTTTCCAAAAAAAAAAAAAAAAAAAAAAAAAGCCTTTGGGAGTTTTTTTGATATTTACAAAAGCCTTAGGGTCATCTGTAAGTCCTTCAGTGCATGATGTTTCCAAAAAGCCTTCGGGAGCTTTTTGATGTTTTCAATGCCTTCGAGTCATCTGTAAGTCCTTCAGTGCATGATGTTTTCAACATTTCCATCCTACTCAAAAGAAGCCAAATGAAAAAAAAATATATTGTCTTTTTCGTCTTTACTCTATTCTTGTTAACACAAGGATGAGCAAAGAGGGGCAGCTGTAGACATCATTTTTTTTTTCATTTAAATTTATTATTATTGTTAAATTTTATTATTATTATTATTAAATATATTATTATATTATTATTAAATAATTATTACAAACCCATTTACAAAGCCCAAATAATAACCCTAAACCCAACTAGGGTTTTCCATCTCATCCCCAGCCGCCAGACGATCTCCACCGTTGGATCTGGCAAGATCCAACGGTCCAAAGTTTTACAACAAGACGCCCTAGGGTTATGATACCCTAGGGACCACGCGGCCGCCGCTGTCGCCACCACCAACGACACCCTCCCAGAAGCCTCCAGAAGGTCAGCTGCTCCCCACATGTCACGGCTATGGGGTGAGTCACCACATAGCTCGGTGACTCACCGAAATTCCCCCTCTAGACCGGTCCGAGCATGGCTCGGTGGTGGCTATAAAAGCCACCGGATCCTGCAAGAAAAAGAACGGACAGCCACGGGGAGACAAAAAACAGAAAAGAAGAAAAACAGGAAAAAAGAAAGAAAGAAAGGAAAGCTTACCGAGGAAGCCACCGGTGATCGAAGACGCTACGGGCCGACCAAACTATTCGAAATACCCGAAGGTATTTCTTCAGATCTACTCCAATCGGGAGTTTTTTAGGGGAAACTAACGCCTGATTCGGCCTAATAGGGTTTAGGAGGTTATTTTGGGGTATTTAGGAAAAATCCGGCCACCGCGTGTGGTGGCCGGCGTTGGTCGCCGACGCCGGAGTGCGACTGCCGGCCGGGTCTCTCTCTCAGCTTTAGAGAGAAACGAGAGAGAATTTAAACTCTCTCATTTAAGAGAGAGAAGAGAGAAATGAGAAATGAGATGATGGCCCTTCGGGCCAGCCAGCATAGGGTATTTATACCCTCTCTTAAACGGCGTCGTTTAAGGGAGGACCTGCGTGTAATTTGGTAAAGGTTAAACCCTTTCCGCAGCCATCCTAACTTGTAATCTTTACATTTTAGTCACTAATCAAATTTATAATCCTTTTAATTTGGTCTCTAAATTTTATTTATTTATATTTAGCCATTAACCGTATAATAATATATTTATGATAAATAGCAGATTTGATCCCTTAATTTTAATAAATAATATTTTAATCCCTAGTTTATATTTTTAATTTATTTGAATCTAATATCCGAATTTTAGATAATTTTATTTTAGTCACCAAATAAATAAAATAAAGAAATAACATATTTAATCCCTATAGTTTTGATTAATTATGAATTAGATTTTTAATTTATTTTTACTATAATTTAGTCATTTATTTTATATGTTTATTTATTTTATTTTTTTTTAATATATTGTTTTAGTAGAATTTTTCTTTTATTATATGTTAAATATTTTATATATTCATAAATATATATAATAATAATAACTTTTAAATATTTATTTTTAATATCGAAGAAAAGGACAGTCTTAATACAACTGGATGTCCTATTCTGATATTTTAAAATTAAAAAGTAAACAATATTATTTAAAATTAATATTTATCAATATCAAAGAAAAGAGCTGTCTTAAGGCACCTAGAAGTTCTTTTCGGAGATTTTTAAATAAATAAATATTTTTTATAATTTTGAAATAATAGAATTATAAATTAAATATATTTTTGAATATTTTAAATTTTAATAATAGAGACAATTTATAATTAAAAGTACCAATTTTGGGCGTTGTAGGGGGTGCTAATCCTTCCCTAAACGTAACCGACCACGAATCCCTTTTTATTATTAAAAAGAATGAATTTTTGGTTAAAACGCAGATCAGTTTATCTTTTAATTGGTGTTTTCTTAAAAACTCTTTTAAAAGAAAATTTTTAGGTATTCGACCTACCTGATCCAAAAGGTCGATGGCGACTCACAAATTATTTTCAAAATTATTTATAAACATCAATTTACCCGCCAAATTTAATATTTCGTGCCCGGACAAAAACCGGTTACGATAGAAATCAAATTTGGGTATCATTTTTATGCACTTTTGTCAACAATTTTCCAGACGCTGACAAACCATGGTTTGTTTCGTTAGAAAAGAAAAAAACCAACTAATGCCATTGTTAGGTCCACTGTCCTCTAACAGTGTCATTATCCTAATCCTGTCTTTAAGTGGCTGCCTCCCCAACTTCCCACCACTACCATTTGATTTTTTTTATCACCATTCTTGACTTCCTATGCTTTATCCTTTCCCTTATATACACTTTGGCTCACAACATGGTGTCCTCAACAATGGGTTCCGAAATCGAAATTACTCCAGCAAGGGCAATAACCCATCAACCCTGCGCCGCTTGTAGGATGCTCCGCAGGCGATGCGACGTTAATTGCATTCTCGCCCCGTATTTTCCCGGCGATGAGCCGGAGAAATTTGCTGTGGTGCACAAGGTTTTCGGTGCTAGCAACGTTATCAAAATGATTCAGGTGAGAGACCCTGTACGAAGAAATCTGCATGTACGAAGAAACTAGATGTTTTATTTGTTTTGATTGGTTATATGATAACAGATGGTGGAGGAAAGGAACAGGGAGGATGCGGCGAAAGCGCTGGTGTACGAGGCGAAAGCGAGGATGAGAGACCCTGTTTACGGCAGCACGGGGACCATTTTTCAACTGCAGAAGATGGTGCAACAACTTAAAGTGCAGCTTGAATCCACGAATGCTCGAGTATTGGAATTGCAGCAGCAAAAAGATCAGTTGCTCAGTATCTTTCTAGATGTTGATCTGCATTCTCTCGTCGATTATGGCGGTAGTTTTTCATTGGATTGTGAAGATTCCATGGCCTATGATCCCTCCAAATTCCCCGTTGTATGACCGGATCCAAAACCACGTCAAAGACTGGAACAAATACAAAGAAATTTATGTATATCATTTATAATATTACTTTACTTCTGTTTATGTTTCGTGCCAAATGTTGATAAGATTCCATAGAAAATTAATGTTTTAATAAGAAAATAAATGACAAAGGTAATGAAAATTTACTTACCCCGTTTTCTAAGATGATTCTAAAGAACCCCACGCCACACGCAAACTTTTTAATTTAATGTTGATCATAGGTCAAATTTGAGTATTACTCCTTGTACTTTATCTAATGTTGTGGGTTTTGTCCTATACTTTAATTTAATCCCTTTTAGTTCTACACTTTTTAATTCAAACAACAACTACTACATTTACTAAATCAAATTTGAAAGTATTTGAAATTTATAATTTAATTATATTATCGATGTTTGTACAGCAAAACCCTAAAAAAAAAGTTCTTTACAGTCGCATGCTTCTTCTTTTTTCATTTAAATTCTTTATAATTAGATTTGACGACACATCAACTGATCAATATGACACTTATTTGTTATGATATTGATTTTTCATGATTTGGACATAGTTTGCGTTCGGAGATAGTTTAATATCCTGTTGTGGTTTATTTGTCGATGCAGTTAAATATGTTCGTATTGTTTGAGTTTTTAGATGAATTTTTAACATTTTATTTATATCATACTTATATGATCTCAAGTGACTAATTTAATGTATTAATGATTATAAGAATATGTCCTAGTTATATAGTTATTATAATATTAGATATTATCTTTTTTTTAATAAAACTACCTATTTTTATTTACATAAAAGTAATATTATCAATGTAATATTTAAAAAATTTAAAAATTATAAATATTAATATCGATCAAGTTAAAATAAACAAATTAAACTTACAAATGGCATATAATAAGAGGGAAATTTAACGGAAAGCCCTTTTTGCTTGTGCTTTCACCTCAACTCTTAACTGATCCTTTTGTTTCTGGGGAAGTTTTCTTTTTTTCTCCTTTAGGAACACTGCCCTGCGACTTTTCAACACTCTTCTGCTGAACCCATACTTGCCTTTTCCCTATAAACCGGTGTGTATTATTATTCATTTATCTTCAATTGCCGTCTCTATTTTTCTACGCCTTGATTGAATTATTTTTTGGTTCTCTTGATTATTTTTACAGGCACGTGAGATCTGAAAATGAAAAAAAAACGGTTGCTTTATATTGGTCATGTAAAGAAAGCCTCCTGATGTTTCTAGTTTAGTTGGAAATGCATTGAGGAAAAGATTTATTTATTTTTAATTGTTTTTAGGGGTGAGATTTGATTTGGGTATTTGTTGAAAATTTCATCTTTATTGATTATTCAGTTTTCTTGGGGTAGTTTAGGGGATGGAAATTGAAGTGGGAATGGGGGGTGGAGCTTGGAAGGACGAAGACAAGGCAATGATTGCCTCTGTTTTAGGAACAAAAGCATTTGACTACTTGATATCAAGCTCGGTTTCGAATGAGAACATTTTGATGACCGTATGTAGTGACGAGAATCTTCAAAACAAGCTCTCAGATCTCGTGGACCGACCCAACGCCGCCAACTTCAGCTGGAATTATGCCATTTTTTGGCAAATTTCGCGGTCCAATTCAAGCGGTTGGGCCCTCGGTTGGGGAGATGGCTGTTGCAGAGAGCCTAAACAAGGAGAAGAATCTGAAGCTACTTGGATTCTTAATCTGCGGCTCGAAGAAGAGACTCAGCCGGAGATGAGGAAAACTGTTTTGCAGAAATTGCATGATGTTTTTGGTGGATCGGATGAGTATAATTACGCACTTGGTTTGGATAAGGTACTGATACTGACATGTTCTTTTTAGCATCCATGTTTTTCTTTCCACCTGGAGAAGGTGGTCCGGGGAAATGTTTGGCGTCTGGGAAACATGTTTGGATTATGGATGCTTTGAAGTCGGGTTCAGATTATTGTGTTCGGTCCTTTTTGACAAGGTCTGCCGGAGTTCAAACTATTGTTTTAGTCCCTACTGATGTTGGTGTTGTTGAATTGGGGTCCGTTGGGTTGGTACCTGGAAGCTTAGAGTTCAAACTATTGCTTGGGGAAAGACAAGTGGGAGTACCAATTCAATTGGTGCATGAGAAGAAAAATTTAAATACCATTGTTTCGAATTCAACGATTGTGGAGAGATTGCAAGTGGGAGTAGCAATGCCAGTGGTGCATGAAAAGAACGATGGAAATACCATTGTTTTGAATTCGACAATTGTGGAGAAATTTCATGGCACTCCCAAGATTTTTGGGCAGGATCTGAACAACACTTCGAATGGTCGTTCCATTTATAGGGAGAAACTTGCTGTTAGACCGACATGGGGAGCACATGTTAATGGAGGTAGGCTTTCGTTTTTAAGTAATCAAAATGGTCTTAATTGGTCACATGTTCATGGTGTGAAACAAGGGAGCCCAATAGAGTTTCAAGAGTTTTCTAATGAGGCTCAGGATGAGTTTCGGTTTAACCATTATCAGTCACAAAAGCCAGTTCAAATGCAGATTGATTTCTCTGGGGCTACTTCAAGGCCTTACGCGAGTACTCAGCCATTGGGTGCTGAATCCGAGCACTCAGATGTTGAAGCACCATGCAAGGAAGAGAAGCCGAGTGCAGCTGATGAGAGGAAGCCCCGGAAAAGAGGTAGGAAGCCTGGTAATGGAAGAGAAGAAGCTCTTGATCATGTTGAAGCAGAGAGGCAGCGGCGTGAGAAGCTGAACCAACGGTTCTATGCCTTGCGAGCCGTTGTGCCCAACATATCAAAGATGGACAAAGCTTCATTGTTAGGAGATGCAATTGCTTACATCAATGATCTTCAAGCAAAACTTCAGGTCATGAAAGCAGAGAGGGAGAAGTTTGGTAGTACTTCGAGAGTTTCACCAGGGTTGGATCCTAATAGTATAGAGAGTCATGGCCGAGCTCCTGATATCAATGTTCAAGCTGTTGAATGTGGTTGTTGTATGAGTAAACTGTCCATTAGATTCACATCCTGCATTAAGAGTAATCCAAGCATTCAAGAGACACAGATTAATATACGAGTCGAAACTTGTTGCAGCAGATGATACTGTGTTCCATACATTTGTTATCAAGTCTCACGATGGGAACCTCTAATAAGGGAACAGTTGATTGCCGCTTTTCAGGTGAACCGAATTCCTTGAAGCCATTTCATCCCTTGGATAGCACTCGATTGCATTGAAAACAGTCCATAGGGTTTAAAAATTATAGGTAGGAACCTGATTCCAAGCTTCTTCAAAGGTTTGACATACAACAAGGTAGTGCAGCAAATTGTGTGTGATTGTTATTATTATATATTCTCTGCCATAGTGAGGTATATTTGCAGGGATTACTTAAAACGTTAAGTTGAACCAACTTATGCCCTTGTTGGTAGCTTTAGAACTGATTCCCTCTTTTTATTTTTTATTTTTCTATATTACCCCTAGTCTTTTAAATGGGTATATTTATTTCTGGATACTTTGCTATGCCATTTTGAAGGGAGGGGGGGGGGAAGAAATTACTATTTACTGCGAGGAAGCAGAATCTATGATAAGCTAGAGAATCCATGCATGGAATTTAACAGTGAAGCTGTTTTGGATTTTGTAAGCATTTGGTGGCACTTTCCAGTTTTGCTCTCTCACTGTTCTGATACTCTTTCAACTTGTGTTTTGGCCTAATACAATTTACCATTTAAAGTAAAATATTATATTTCCTTCCTTAAATGCTTTACGTTTGTCTCTTCGAATCAACAAATATTGGACCAATCAAATTACGCAACATGACATCTTTCTATTTTTTGCCCTTTGTCCTATTAAAATTACTTGTCTTGGTAGTTCTGTCTAAGGAAAGTGGGTTTTAAGAGAGACCATTGTGACCCCTCCTCTTTCCTGGAAATATACATGGGGTGATTTTTAGTACAATCGTTTTCACACTAGTCGCCTAATATAGTTTCGAAGGTGAATATGTTATTGGTGGAAATTAACCCGAATTTCACAACATCAAATAATAACAAAATTGGTATAAATAATAATTTTTTAAATAATTTTTTTTTGAAAAATTAAAAAGATAATAATAAAATGATAACGTCTTTTTAATTATATATTAAAACTGTGACACGTGAGACTTTCCTTAATGGTAAGGTACAATCATGTTCATTTATTCTTAGAGAGGTAGCGGTAACATTTACACATTTGGATTAATATTTTGATTGCCGAAAGGGCCATATTGAAGGTCCGCCCTACGAAATGCCACGTATATCAAGCTCAGAAACCGCCTCTATCCAGTTGACTCTTGAAAATTAACAGAGGATAAAAACCTATATAAATTAGTTTTTTTGAAAAAAAAAATAATGAAAAATTAGACAACTGATACGATTGGGGAATGGCTATGGAGATGGAGGAGCGAGGAAAAGTCGGGACTTTGATGGAAAAAGCCACGAACTCGACAGCTTCCGAGGTTGATCCACGCCTTCTCAAAGCAATCAAATCGGTGGTCCGGTCCTCCGATTTCGAACTTCGACTGGCCGCCCATACCCTCATGGACCTCATGAAGCGCGATCATTCCCAGGTCTTCTATACGTCTTTCTTCAATGAGTTTCTAAATAAGCATATTTTGATTTCAGCAACATTTCCGGGTTTCCCCCCCTTGGTTTAATCCAATTTTAGTTTCCTTAATGCGTGTTGTGCAATCGGATTTCAAGAGTTTGTAGTCTTTATTTTTGAAATGAAATTCCGGATCTTTTCCTTTAATGATATTCATTTATTTTTCTAAATTATGGAAAGAAAAATCCAAGGAGACTTGTGTTAAGGGAATTTGAGCTTATGAGACTTGTGATTGCAGGTTCGTTATCTCACGCTTCTTATAATCGATGAGCTTTTCATGCGATCTAAGCTTTTCAGAACCCTTCTGGTTGAGAATTTAGATCAGTTGTTGGCCTTAAGTGTTGGGTTCAGAAGAAATATGCCGCTCCCAGCTCCTCCAGCAATTGCGTCGGCTTTGCGTTCTAAGGCAATTGAGTTCTTGGAGAAGTGGAATGCATCTTTTGGGATTCATTACAGGCAACTTAGATTAGGTTTTGATTATCTTAAGAATACTCTCAGGTTTCAATTTCCTAACCTTCAGGAGACTGCGGCCAGAATAGAACGAGAGAGAAGGGAAAGGGAGAGAAGGACTCGGGAAATTTTACAGAACAAGTTTGAAATCCTGAAGACAAATTTTAGTTCTGTTAAGGAAGAAATACAGTCTACAGTTGATGAGATTGGACAATGTTTAGATATTGTTCGTACTAAAGAGGAATGTGTGCCTCCCATCCTATTGGATGATGAAGATTTTGTAGAGTTCCGTTCTGCTGAATTGAGGCAGATACGCCTTGACTCATTGAAGGAAGGAGAAAAAATACATGAGAACAATGATAACAAAGTGGTTTTCGATGCATTAAGAGAGCTGTATAAGCTTTTAGTGACTAAGCATCTGGTTTTAGTACAAGAAAGGATTTCTCTTCTCATAAGGGTCGAAGTGGCTGACAACAGGTCACGAGAATCCATGCTGAAGGAGTTGATTGATATACGGAACAGTCTCATGTCTGTGAAGAAGGATTGTGAAGAATCTGGTTGTGCTTTACCCAAAACTGCAAAAAATAACACAGAGGAGGAGGAAGATTTCTGGGAGGAAGGTGATTTTGGATCAATCAAGAATGGAATTACTACTGAACCTGAGAAGCATAAGGAGGTAGAAAGTTGTAATGCAGATGAGAAAAGTAGATCTGTTGAGGATAGGAATTCCAAGAAATCAAATAAACGTAGCAAAAATCTTGCTAAATTGCCAGCTTCTAGCATGGTGAAAGGCAAAGATAAAGACTGCAGTAACTTGAGTTCTAAGGGCAAAGAGACTCAAGGCCATGAAAAATCTGTTAGGGGTGATCTTTTGGCTGAAGCTCCAGTTCTCAAGTGGGGTTCTTTCTTGGATAATTGGGGCTCAGTCTCTAATAGGGATACATTAGCAAATCAGAAAGGCTTGGAGCTTGACAATCACTGGGGAAGAGTAGATTATGATGCTGTGATTCCAGCTGAGAAAATTGCAGAATTGAATCTTCAGGCGACTATTTACCAGGAAAAGGTAGGGGAAATCCAACCATGCCGTGCACCTTTGAATAAAGGTGGACTTTGTCAGAGAAGAGATTTGAAGGTTTGCCCATTTCATGGGCCCATTATACCTCGAGATGATGCAGGAAACCCAATCAATCAGAATTCTTCAACAGACAATACAGATCCTGATTTAGGCTCTGATTTAGCAGAGCAGTTAGCAAAACAAGCTGTGAACAATGTTAGGGAGCGAGATAAAGAGGAAGCAAGGAAGAGAAAGCTTGCAAAACAGTCATTACAGCGGGAAAAGCTTGCTAAAGTTCGGGAACACAATGAAGCTGTTCTTCGTGATGCTGCAATGGCTTCAACATCAATATCAGCAGCTTTTGGAGAAGACATGGGGGAAACTGTTGGAGAGAGGTCAGCGGGGAGAAGAAACAAACAAACTCTGGCATCCATGCTGCGGAAGAAAGTTACGACAAAAGATAGGTTAGCTCAGAGACTTCTAAACACCCGGGCAACAGATGCAATGATAAGACAGATGACCCAGGGCGACGATGCAACTTATAAAGAATCCTTTCCCAATCAATGGTAGATGGTTTCCTATTAAGTTAGCAGGCATTTCTTGAAGAGTCATGCCGATAAATCCTTAGGCAAGTACGGGTCAAACAATTTCGATGGTGTTCGTGTGAGTATATAAAGCACAAGCTGATTGAATATTCATTGCATTAATGAAGCTATTTCAATCAAATTCCTCTTCGAGCTTGAGGAATGTAGTTGTACCATTGTGAATCAGGTATGATGAAACATTCAAGCAAGAGTCTTTTTATTGTCAGTTTTGTGACATTCATGTGTTTTGTTCAGTTTTTGAGGAGATTTCTTTTTACATGTTCTTGGAAATAAGAGCTAGAATGTTAGATCAGTCTTTTACACAATAAAGGAGATTTTCTCTCATTGCTGACTCCATCTATATATTGGCTGGAAATTGAGCTGAGACTGCTTGACAAAATCTCCAATGACAACTTCATGTAGGTCGATTGCTTGTATGGAAAATGAAACTACCATCATGTAATTTTCTGCCAGAAACAAATTAAGAAGGCTATGGAGTTATATATTTTCATGATTTATCCGGCCTAAGCCATAGGATTTAGTGTCCATAAAACTGCTTACATCATTTGGATAGGTACAAGTTCTTTCAGGACACAAATTTGCTATAATGTTCCTAACAGACAAAATCAGGAGGTAACAAAAGCTATATTTTGCCTTTGTATCCAATAAACCAGCTCGGACTTGGGACATTGGAAGAAGACTGGAACTGTTTTTGCTTAGTTTATATGGCAGATTGGATAGCGACCACTGGTATTAGTTAATGTAGTAGGGTGAGCAGGTGGCCTTCCTTATCAAACCAGTAAATATGGAAGTACTAACTTCAAGTTTAATATTAGTTATTAGAATTTGAATCTGGAAGTTTAATTCAATTAATTCATGTATTCACTTAAAAAAACGCTAAACAGATTATATCTTGGAATCCCAACATTTACAGGATTAGAATTGTTTAGTGCTAATTAACCTGATTTCCCGTTGAAGTTCAAGTAACGTTGAACCCAAGTCACCTCTTTATGCTATCGTTATCCCAATATTCATATACGACGATGACAACGTAAGGGGTGATGTTGACCTCAGAGAGACATCCCAATTTGTATATTCAGTTGTCAAAATTAGAATAAATTTTTAACAAAAATGATCCATGAAAAAGTATGAATAAATCAATACGAATTTAAAAAATATTTTTAAATATAATATAATATATTTTTTATTTAAAATAAATACAAATAAATTTTAGAATGATACAATCAATCAAATAGACGATTATACGAGAAAAAAATAATAATTTTAGAAGAGATCCACATCTTAATTTAAATGTGAAACCGGGATTACATTTTTTCTCCATCCCAAATAAACTAGAAAAGGTTTGACCCACCTCATACAATAAAATAAACTTAATCCAAGTCCTTGCTTAGACATGGTTGAGATAGAATTTAATGAGCAGCGCCCGCTAGCAGTAAATATATCGCAAGCAGCCAAGAACATGATCGGGGTAATGGAGCCAATAATTAACAAGCGTTAAACAAATTACAACCAGTAACAGTGACGGCTAATTTATTAACCGTTGCTTCTTCTAATATTTCCTCCTCATCACCTTATCAATCCTTATTATTTTGCCTTTTTTGGTAAAGCTTTCCTATAACCTGAAACCCTTTGATGTTGATCATTTGTCTCTCTGGAAGTTTAGACGGTGACACTGACACCTACCAATGAAGAAAAGCAAAAGAGACTCGAAATGGTAGTTTTTTCTTCCGCCCCCCCCCTTCTGTATAGAATCTAGATTCAATTAATCTTTTATAAGGTTTCAACCCAGTTCATTCTTTGTTTGTTCTTCAATCAAAGAAAAGACCCTTTTTTTTCTTCCGGAAAGGAATTATACCCATTTGTGGAATAGCCGATCAAATTTGATTGCTTTTTATCTCCTTTCGTATGGAATCAGATAGCATTGATTGTATGACATCTTCAGATGTAATTGATGATGATAAGATCCATCATCATAACCAGTTGCCTTCATTGTCGAAGCCCCGTAGCAACAATGGGAACAGCAGCAACAACAGTGCTGTGTCATCAGCGGTTCATCCAAGTACCACCAGTGTTCATGAACTCCTTGAATGTCCTGTCTGTACCAATTCTATGTACCCTCCTATCCATCAGGTCAGTCCTTAGTCCAGTTTCTTTTGTGGGTTTCTCTTTTCTTGGAGAAAAATCACTTACTTTTCGGGCTTTGAATACTTTAAATTTCTTTCTTTTTTTCTTGGTTCTTATGATCAGTTGGTCACTTCCTGGCTTTGAGTGATTTCTTTAAGTTTAATCTCTTATGTTTGATCTGTGTTTTATCGTGTTAGAATAGTACTAAGATTGTTGAAACTTGTTGGCTTGGATGTTATTTTAGGGTGACTTTGTCTAATTGATTCTTTGATGTGGGGTTGTACTTGTGTTAGAGAAGCTGAACTTGAGGATGTAATCAGTCTACTGTTTCTTTTTGTTTAGGGGATTAAGGCTAAAGGCAGATAAACGCGTTTATTCATCTGGATGAATTCTCTGTCTTGGTTTTCTTATCAGCCCTTTCTATGAGTTGCTTACTGTCTCAGTTTTTAATCAATCAAAGAAGTAAACATGAGAACCTTTTGCATATAATGATGAACTTTAATAGCTTTTCTATGAGTAGAAAAGAAAAGGAGCAACTACAAAAGGATGATGGACTGATCACATTCTAATTGTGAGAAATCAACACTGTAGCCTTATGCGGTTCTGCCTATTTTCCCCTCTATTCATAACAATGTCTTTTCCGATCTGGCATGGCAAACTATGAACTGTAAACAGAAGTGGCCTGTGTACATGTTTGTTATGTACTTATGGAGGATAATAGAAATGTGTGGTTTCAAGTGATTTTATTGTCTCTCTTTCTGGAAGCTAAGAAGGTCAAATAGAAAAGGAAACTAAAGCTATCCGGTTAGGAAAATATACGAATCCATGTTGATTCCGATGAGAGTTACACTAGGATGTTTTGTGAGACAAAACCAGTGATGTCTTTCAAGTTGCTTAGTTTCACAGAGAAAATAGAATAATAGTTTCATCTACAGGATAAGAAATGCTGATAAAAAAATTTGTTTATAGTTATAGTAATTGAAGAGTGTCTTAGGGTCTGCTGTTTCATTCATCGTTCTCACAACTGTATGCATTGCATCAGATGGAGCATTGTCTTGAAAATCAAGTAAATTCTGTTCATTCTTTCTCCTTTCTCCTTATATGTGCATTGCATTAGCATGCACAAGGTGAGGTGGCTGGTTAATAGATTTCTGACCTGAAGATCCGCTGATGCTTAAAACACCCTTTTTTCTTTTGTCCGGTGCCGAAACTTTGGCTTATTGTATTTTTTGATTTAGACATGTTACACCAGCATGTTTCTATGTTTTCCCCTGTTGTGTGCTGATAGAACATATTGATCTGAAAATGGTACCCAATTTCTACCAGTTTCTTAAATTGCACATGTCAATTGAGCTGGATTTCTTATCGTCTTATGCGGACCTTCTCAAAACAATTTGGTAGCTTATTATTGGTGTTTTAACTATTTGTTGTTCCTCAGTGCCACAATGGGCATACCCTCTGTTCAGCATGTAAAACAAGAATACACAATCGATGTCCTACTTGTAGACAGGAGCTTGGTGATATTAGGTGTCTAGCACTAGAGAAGGTAGCTGAATCACTTGAACTGCCTTGCAAATATACATTGCTTGGGTGCCCGGAGATCTTTCCGTACTACAGTAAACTCAAACACGAAGCCCTATGTAACTTCAGGCCATTCAATTGCCCATATGCTGGATCAGAATGTTCCGTTGTTGGCGATATTCCATTTTTTCTTGCTCATCTAACCATCGTTATGTCAAGTCCAATCCTCGGGAAGTAGGAAAACGCCACCTGGATGCTTACTGTGAGTTACATTCGTTTTAAAAGTGTATTCGATGAATGCATGTGGATCTCATGTAACCTTGCAATGCATGTATTCTATGATTGCATGTGAAGACTAAAAAACTTTTGAAATAGACTAATAGTATTGTGAAAATTATAAAAAAAATTAAATAACACTTTAATTACAATTACAAAATCAAATAAAATATTATTTATTAATTAAATAGGTTACATTATACCTTCAACAGTAATTAATGAAAAATAACAACGTACTCGTTATGTAACTTTTAAAATTTAAGGTAAAACTACTTCAAATATCATTAAATTTTATCCTATGACTCATTTATATTATTGAACTTTTAATTTCGTCAATTATAACATTAAATATTAGTTTTGCTTTTAATTATACCACTCCATCGTTAAGTCAGTGACGAGACGATGACATGACTAATAGTTGTTGGCGTAGTTTTCCACACAAAAATGATGTTTTGGTGTGATTACTTTTATGCCTAAAATTACGTTGTTTTATACACTGAACTTTAGGGTGAATTGATTTTTCTGCTAAATTTTTAAATAAATTTTTTTAGCATTGCATTTTTCGGCCGTTGTCGACATCCAAGATCTCCCATCATCGATGGTCATATTTTACGGTAAGATCAATACCAAAACGTTCATATTTCACTCCTCTTTCTTCACATATAATTGATTTTTGACGAAAATCTATTTTAAAGTTCTACGTATTAATATTCCGATATCTTTCAATGACTGTCCAATGAGGCTAATTTTGAGGTAGGTTGTTCGTCTTCTCGAAATAATGCTTTTCACTATTTAGATTTTTTAATAAACACCCCCAAATCCCATAAATCTAAGAAAGTCTCCAAACATCTAAAAACGATAGACTTTTTTGTTTAATTTGATAATTTTGAGTGGGTTTCATGGAAAACTAAATACATGCGAAGAATGAGGAGTGAAATGCAAACATTTTGATATTGATTTTGTAGTGAAAGATGATCAATAATTGATTAGCGACGGCGACCGAAAAATGTAGTGACAAAAATGTAATATGTTTAAAAGTTCAGTGGTCGGAGAATCAGAAGATAAGCGCAGTGAGTTTCGCCAGCTTCGGCAATAGGTCATCGATGTATAAAGAACAAATATGAGAGATAGACAATGAACTAATACAAGTGGATATAAGTTTTTGCGGGTGGTGAGGACTAAAGTAGTTGACAAAGAAGAAAAAGGAGACGACTTAGATGAAATTTTATGACAAAGTGATCTTTAAAATGAAAGAATACAACTCATTTTATTTTATTAGTCTGAAAATAAAACCAAAAGTTCTTTAAATAATATTATAAAAGATTGTATATATCATATCAATTCTATCGGTAAATTTTAAAATTTGTATATTATAATCTTATTAAAATTAAAATACAAATATATATAAACTAAAATATAAAAATTATATTATACTTATAATATATTAAAACCTATATAAATTATTATAATATGGACTTATTGTAATATAGATTTAATTTTTTTATGTCTTTATTTTTTAATAAGTATATCATTATAATTTATTTTTAAAGGAATTTAAAAGTTCTAGATTAGGTTCGTGAAATTTGGTGTATTTTCCAATAAAATGGGCATCAAATTTATGTTTAGGAGGTCAGAAAGGAGTGATTTGAAAATTTTGAACATGATAAGTATTAGCGGCGACGATCGATGGCAACCAACAACGGTGATGAGGAACAATCAACGACAGAGATTTTAATTGAATTCAACAGTCAAATTGGTATTTATTTAAAGTTTAAGAGTTAAATTAGTATTTTATCTAAAGTGTAAGGTAAAATTAGCATTTTAACCAAAGTTTAGGGTCCAATTAGCATTCTATCTAAAATTTAGAGGTGAACTTAAAATTTAATCATTTTTACTAATGCACCCGTTAATGACTCAATGGCCAAAATAGGAAAGATCGGAAATAAAAGTGACTATAATGTAATTTTTTAAAACCAATGACTAAAACAAGACAAATCAAAACTAAAAAGGACCAGGTCTGTACTTTACCCTTATTTTGAATTAAATGAATACCATTAAGGTTCAACATCTATTTAACATTCAACATTTTCCAACCATTTCTACCTTTTTTAACATTCAACCTTAAATGTAAAAAAATATAAAATCAAATTACTCATAAGGAATTAATTTATTTAAGAATGAAATTTAAATGCTTGATTTTGCGACCAAACATATTTAACGGAAAACACGAAATAGATAACTTTATATGTCTTAACAACAAATTTTAGCACCAATTTATTAGTTTGAACAATATAAAAAAAAACGAATTGAAAACATATAGGGACAAAATTGAAGTCATACAGTTGAAAGAAATGGACTATCAATGTCAATTGCTATGGCAAAAAACTCAGAAAAGATAAAAAGCAATATTCTGTGATCCAAGATCTAATAAATATCCTAACTCGAGTGTACACCAAAATTGTCTCCTCAACAGCGCTCTTTAATGCCCCATTAGTTAGCTACCACTTGAATTCGCTTAGAGTTTTCAACTTTCTCCTAACCAGATGATTTCCCACAACTTTTTAAGCAGCAAAAAGATGACATAAAGAAACTGAAGTTACAATACCTTATTTGAAAAGCCACTTCTTTCCTTGTTCATACTTTCAGCTGAATCAAGTAGAAATTCAAATCTACAGAATCTGCAAAAAAAGTTTTAGGATTGTTAATATGATCCTTAAGAGGGAAAGAGAAAAATCTTCTCCATCTGTGTGATTCTGATAGGGAAGGATGAGCTTTAAAAGGGTTAGCAGCATGTCCTAATTTTTATTTGTGAAACAAAAGTACCAAAATAGCCAGAACATAGCAAGACAGGTCATGCACATAAATATTACAAAAGGCATTCCTGGCATCTGTTAAACAAAACTAACCTGCATTTTTAGATCATAAATCCAAAGGGCGTTTCCATTTGTTACCATGAAGCAAGAAAGATATGTCTTTTCCTTTCGTAGGATTGATCAAAGTTTGTTTCTTCTACCCTGTTCCCGACAATCCTGCTTTGCAAGAAATAGAGCTTTCTGCTATGTAGCAGTAGATGTACAACTTCCACTTGAACAAAAGTCAGTAGATTTTGGAGATTCACTCCCCCTGACGACTCTGTTGTATAAAACTTTAAAAGATTGTGAGCCATATGGTCGACTAAGCAAACTGATTGGCATTCTCAATGTCTGCTTTCGGTTTCTTCTACCCCTTACTAAAATGCTGAAGGTTTTCTCACCATCAGTCTTCCTTTCAGCATTGCTTTCAGCCATATTGTGTGGGTTGTTGATTTGGCTCAGCACGCTCTCAGAGTTATCTACCATATTTTGATTCAAGCAACCATTTTCCTGTATGCTTTCCAAACCAACTCTAGCTACTTCCTTAACACTATTTATTGCCTCAGATGCTGAAATGTTGACTTCTTTTTTAGCTTTTCCGATCGTGTCAATATCTAGTGGCAGCATTGGCGCTGAAGTTGGGTTTATATCATCACTTTGCACTTTCTGCTCCAATATCCTATCAGAAATTTGCTCAACAATCGGTGATGGTACAGAGAACTCCATAGGATGACCAGGCCAAACTGCCCCAGGAATGAACTCGGGTACACTGGGGTTCACATTGCACTGCCATGAGAATTGACTGGGATGAAAAGGAGCGGTAGTTACAGGAAAGGTCATTGTTGGTACAGGTTGGGATTGAGTATAGGATGGATATATAAAGGGTAGAGACTGCATCATGCTTGGAGTTCGAGGAGGTGATGCATATGGATGATGAGGGGAGGAGCATATTGGATTCAGTAAGACAGTAGGTGGTGAAGAGTGAAGGGGCATGTTAACAGCCCAGGGTGCTACCGCTGGAACAGGTCTAGGAGGAGGAGGAAGGGTGATGTTCAAGAGGAGTGCAGCAGTACGTGAAATGGTCGTTGATGGGTTGAAAGGAGCTGCAGATGCAGACAACTTTTTATTGGCAAGTCCCAGACAATTATCAGCATTTAGACCTAAGGGTTTGTCCTTCAATTCTTCTACCCCTTTTAATGTGGAGTTTGAATTACTGTGGGATTCAAAACTTCCAGGTATATCATTCTCACAGAGTTCCTTTTTGGGAGAATTAATAGAATCCGGCATGCCAATTATTAATATGCCATCCTGTACAGCTTCATGATCCTCATAATCACCGGCTTCAAGTTCTTGTCCCTCCGCTCTCTTGGGCACCGTCAAACAAGAGTTATCTTCCATCACAGCAGTTGGCATACTTCCATCCTTGTTTTCAACTACGGTTTCCTCTTTTGGGTCATCTGCTGAATCCAGTAAATTGTTCTCACTCTTCTTTTCATACATGTTTTCCATCCCTGTAGTCAACTGCTCAAAGTTGTCTTTTGTTTCATTCATTTCCTCTCGATATTTTTCAATGTTGAAGTCTGGGTTATCAACACAATTAGTTTCAGGCCTGAAATGCAATTTGGAGATACTACCCGGAGGAGCCAACGCTACTTCCTTGTATGAAGGAGATTTCCCAAGACTGACTATAGAATTTTTTATTGGACAGTGATCATTGGGTGCTAAGGTAGAAGCTGATCCCCTAGGAGAAATAAACACCTCACCTCCATTTCCAGATATTTCAGTTGAACTTTTAGTAGATGGAGTGGACTTAACCCTGTATGTAACAGTTTTAATTATTCTCCTTCCAAACTTTGAACCTTGGAGGGGATTAATAGTGTGCTGCTCCACATGACCTCCATGAGATATTATTCGTTTCTTTAAACGGTAATACCTAGTATTTTGATGATTGGCACTGACTAGAGGAAGTTCCATACCAGGATCAACATTCTTTTTCTGAGAATTGAAAACCTTGCCTATAGTTGTCCGTCTCTGCTTTAGTCTCCGCCCCAGAGAGACAGATGCTCTTAGCCTTTGAACGTGTTGCCACCCATCATCCCCTTCAGCACGTGAT